GTTTAAAATAACAGTCATTAGATTTAATATTATTAATAAGTTTTTTAATTTATTTTATAAAATATAATGTATTAGAAGTGATGATACGGCCTATATATAATTATGTTTGTTAGAATTTTTTTAAGACATCATGTGAGAAAACTTTTTCTAGTAGTTTGAGAAAGTTTTCTTTATTATTGTTGTTTTAACTTGCTGCTGTTTTTCTCTTTATTTTACTTATTTAATTTGTTCTATTCCCTATTGTCTCCTGTTATACACACAGTACACATTGGTTCAAAACTATTATTATTTATTATTAGTATTAGCCTCTAAACTGTATTTTATTTTCAATTCTGTTTGTTTTCAATTCTGTTTGTTTTGATAATGTATGAAAAAGAGTTGCAACCCATTTTTTTTAATCCAGTCTAAATTATTTTGTTTGTATTTTTTTGTTAGGTTGCATAAATTTAGTGCTTTATAAATTCGGTTCAAGATGGTTGAACATTTTTTGAGTAATGATTTTACACTGGTCTTGAAAATTCATCAAAATTTGGTAGAATATTATGCGATTTAAACTTTATGGGTCAGGCTTTGGTCGGGCTTGGACCGGCTCTGAGCCTAGTTTAAAATTAAAACCCGACTCAACCCGTATTTATGGGCTTTTTTTTTAGCGGGCCGGACTCGGGCTTGTAAATATTTTTCGGGTTTGGTTTTGGGCCCAAGCAAGCTCAGCTCAATCCGGCTCATCCCACTCTCTAGCCTGGCACCAAACCTTATTCGTGTTATATTCATTACAATGTCCACACTTTTCGTAGGGCTCTGCAAATGCCCATGCCGGGCACATAGGCACTAGTGCCTCATTCCGTGCCAATACCTATAGTCTCAAAAGTGTCAGGCATTATTATGGACATAGGCACAAATGCCAGGCATTTTTATAGGCATGGCAAATACTATTATAGGCACGGCACAATATGCTATGTAGCAAAAAGGTGCCAGGCACAAGTGCCGGACAGTACCAAACATAATTAATTAATAAATACCAACCTTTTGTGTCCATGCTCATGCTCATACCAAGTTTTTGTACCCGCGCCCATGCCTATGCCAAATTTTTATACTAGTGTTAATACCCATGCCTGAATTTTTGTTGGGCATGGGCACGAGCCCGGGTTGCAGACCCCGAATTTTTCGTATTTAGATTGTCTTTATTAATTACACTAATAATAAATGTTCTTTGTACTCACTAATTGCAGTATGTTAAATGAAAATTAAACTCTGTCCCTAACTTCCCTAAATGAAAATTTCTCATTGTTCTCTAAACGCATATCAGGTCCAGAGAGGTTGCATTTAGGAGGTTTCTCTATAAATATAACGATAATTATTCGGGCGGGTAATTGCGTATAATAATGATAATACATTATAAGAAAGATGATCTATTAATAGGATAGAAAATAATTAAATGTAGAGACGTAGAAAATCGTGAGTATGTCGCATCTGAAATAGCGATTTATTTAAAGCAGCGCCCTGGCTAAAATTATAACTTAATGCATGCATGAAGATCTAATTTCAGGGGCTTAATTTTAGCCAGGCACTACTTTAAATAAATCGCTACCTTAGATGCAACAGGATACCATCAACTTTAAAATCTTGATACATACTTACCCTTCGATGAGACGAATACAAATGATATAAAAATCGTTTAATTTGGACTAATAGATCTCGAGTTACACGAAAGTTTCTCTTTACCGAATTATCGTTATGCATTAAGAGGTAATGTGGTCATGGTCTAGGATCAACATATGATTATGCATACGTTATTGGTTTTTTATCCAATAAGTTAAATTAAAAAAACGGCTGTAATTTGATTATAAAAAGTTATCAGTCAATTTTGTGAATATGCTTTATAAAAAAATACTTTCTCTTTAATAAACCAATTTTATTATAAGAATATGATTATTTTATCAAATTCTAAGTTTGGAACTATTTTCTTTGTTCTTGAAATATTATTACTGTGCCATTTAGTTTCGTCCCAATGGACAAAAATATTAAAACGTAGTAATTTTCCTGAGTATAAAGTTAATTTGAAAGAACCACATCTTTGCGATGATACAGTTCAACAGGTTTATTTATAACTTATTTAGTTAGAATAAATAAATCTTACTTAGAATAATAAATTTTTATTATTTAATACGAAATTTTGGAATTTAGTATTCAGGGTATGTTGATGTTAAAAGCACTAAGCATTTATTCTTTTGGTTTTTCGAATCGAGAAATAAACCTCAAGAAGATCCGATCGTTCTTTGGGTATGTAAATTCAGTAATCTACTGTATATTCATTTGTTAAATCATTAATCGAAAATTTAAATTTATTAAAAATAGCTTAACGGTGGACCAGGGTATGATATTTTTTAAAGCTTTATTTATAACAATATGTTTTCCTCAAAATTTTGATTTAATATCCGCCGAAATTCGGTTGCACACATCATGACGATCCCTGTGTACCAATAATAGCGGCAGCTGTTTTCAACTGTTCTCATAAATTCTGGGTTACGTGAAATCTTCTCGGTTTCTTCCTAACTCTCGGGAAACTACATGCCATCTTCGAACCTTCAGTCCGAGGAGTGACGTAATTCCGAAGAGTTACGGAATGGAATCGAAAAGATTTTGGTTAATGAGCAAATTTTAATTTGTTCCAGAATTCATGAGAACAGCTAGTTATATATTTTGGAACAAAAGAAAAAATTACCAAAGATGGAATTGATAAGATTTTGGTCTCTGACCAGCTCCGTAACTTATTGATTCAGCCACTGAGAAATTTTTCAGTTGTCCCAGATTTATAAAAACAGTCGTAAATCAGTCCTTATAAGGACTGGGACGGCCAGACCGGATCGAAGTATACAAACTTGTATTACAGACATCTGTCAAAAAATTGACTGACTCGATTCGATAAGTTTGTAATGATCATTGCCGAGTCAAACCTTATCAAATAGGTCAGTCAATGTTTTGCCTGATTTATGAAAACAGCTCCAAATTAATAAAAACATGGTATAGATGCAAGGCGTCAACGTGGGAGGCATTGATAAAAGAGATTATAATGCAGACCCGAAAATTTTGAGTTACACAACATCCTGATATTGTTATTTCACCATATATTTTTAATTACATATAATAGACAACCTTCTGTAAGAGGTTTATACTTTGAACTTGGTCCTTGCACTGTTAACCCAGGAGGAAATGATACAACTTTTAATCCTTACTCGTGGACTAGCAACTCTAGTATTATTTTCTTGGATCAAGTATGAAAAGATTTTTGTTATTTTTATATATTATATATTTTCAATCAATAATATAAACTACACAATATAAAATTATTTGATAGCCAGTTAATACAGGATATTCTTATGGTGATAATGTATCTGATACTTTCACTGCTGCAAATGATGTATACGCATTTTTACAAATCTTTTTCCAAGAGTTTTATCAATATGCCAATTTAGATTTCCATATTGCTGGTGAATCGTAAGCATTGTTAATATTTGTTAATACGTTCTATGAAAAAAATAGGGAATAACAAATCATTTGTATTAACAGGTATGCTGGACATTACATACCCACCATAGCCTCAGTTATAAACAAATATAATAATGTTGATGATGCTATAGAGAACCGTATTAATATCAAACTTAAATCTGTCTTGATTGGAAATGGTCTATTCAACGCTTTAGTGCAACATAAATATTTATCTAAAATGGCCTGTGATTCATCTTATGGACCAGTCTTAAATAATTCTGCATGTAATCAGATGAGAAGAGATTATATTAATTGTTCCGAATTGACTGAAAAATGTTTTGATTCAAAAAATTTGACAGATTGTGTAACTGCTGAAAATTGTTTTGATGGAATATATCAACTTTATAAAACTTCTAATAGAAGTATGTATGATATTAGAAAACAATGTGATGGTGATTCGTGCTATCCAGAACTTCAAGACATTGAAAAATATTCTAATCGTGAAGATGTTAAAACTGAGTTGGGTGTTAATCCTTCGGTGGTCTTTCATGTTCGTAACGCCAATGTTAATAAGAACTTCTTTAATTCTGGTGATTGGTAAGCAATTTAAATTAATTAATTAATTTAAATTGATCTAATTTTTCGTTAAAGCTTTGAATATATATATATATATATATGAATATATTCGATGATATATATTTTTAATTTAGGATACTTTTCTTTGACGCATATGTTTCATCGCTCCTGGAAAGCAATATTCGAGTATTAATATACGCTGGTAATTTTATAAATAAGTCTTTTTTTTTTTTAAAAAAAAAAAAAAACTTTCTATATATTATCAAATTATTTTTATAGGCGATGCTGATCTTAGATGTAATTTTTTTGGTAAGCACTTTATTACTAATTTATATAATACATATTTTCATAAAAATGTCTTGAAGACATTGCACGTAACTCTCTTAAGTGATGTGATCTCCATTAATAAGATTTTATTATATTATATCGGGAGTCATAATACATATAGCGAGAAAACTTTATATAGATTATCTCAAGCTTTATTATATCGAAATTTTAATTAATAATAATTTTTTATCTAGGTCTTGACGCGTGGACAAAAGCGCTTAAATGGAGTGGTACAAAAGGTTTTAATAATGCTGATGTTACTCGTTGGATAACGACTATTGGTACTCATTCTGGAGATGTTAGAACATTCAAAGGACTTACATTCCTGAGAATTTTTGGGTCAGGGCATTATGTACCTCATGACCAGCCAATTGCAAGTTTAGATTTCTTTGTTAAATGGATATTCAATAAAGATTTGTAAACACGTTGTTATTATTGAATTCGGGAGAGCTCAGATAATAGGGGCGGTCAGAGATAGTGAACGAACGGGATAATAGTCGATTAAAGAGGGGTGTATGTAAAGATAGGATAATAGATTAGAGTTATAAGAGCGTTAATATCGGTATGCTGATAGTTGATTCAAGGGATGATGTAGATAAATTAATGTAATGATTTTTAAAGTGATGCTTTAAGTGACTTAACGATGTTTAGCTAATAAAGACTGATTTCGAACGTATATGATAATATTCACGATATCAGTGATGAATATAATTGTATGTAAAGATAAATTTAAATGTGAAAACGCGGTCTCGCTAGCAAAATAAGATAAGATATGAGAACAAGGTCTCAATAGTAAAGCAATTCAAGAGTGAGATCAAGGTCTCAATAGAAAAACAGAATAAGGTGAGAACGGAGTCTGAGAAAAACTTTATTAGCAGTAAAAATTCAAGTCCTTAAATAGAAAATCGTATACATCTTTCTTATCTACACACTTTCCTTCATACTATACTCTAATCTGGGTTCCCTCGTGACTACAAAATAGCCACATTCCCTTTTCTATACCTTTCTACTTTCTCTAAAATATCCCATCCGAAACACTCCTTTACCATTTCTTAAACCAACGTCGTATAAGGCGTATAGAATCAGCCGGTGTTTGTAATAAGTGAATGTTTCACATGTGACGATATTGTATGAATTCAAGTTTAATGAATCCGCAGGTCATGGAGTCATTTCGTATCTTGGACATCGAACGATTTATCCTCACGTGTTCTTAGTTGCATAAGATAAATATAGAGAATAATAAGAAAATACAAATAAAGAATAGTGAATATAGTAATAATTATAGAGGCGCAGAAAATTTATACACGTGACGGTAGTAACACCGGTAAATGGCGCAGACTCTCTGGTCTCAATATTTCTAATGTTTTTTTTTATTCATCTCATGGTTTATTTGCTTATCAAAGTGATTTATTAGAAACTAGAATTAGAAGCTTAGCATTTAACTTTTATTCTTTTTTACTATTTTTTTCTTTATTTTGTTTATTTTTTTATTAATTTGGATTTTTCTGCATGTCTACTTGAGTATTAGAGGGTGAAAATCTGTAAGTAAATACGGTAAACTCTATAAATGCACTCTCTATAATGCATTCCGCTCAAAGCGTAGCATAGTGTGATTAAAAAAATTGTTGCACAAGATTAATTCCGAAGCAGAACAGAGTAACTAAATTTGAGTGGTATAAAATAAAATAAAATAAATAAATTTTTCGATCTCAAATGCCCAAATCAGAATTATATCGGATTTTTAACAGTATATATCGTATTTTAAATTTAACTTTTAATTTAGTGGTATATGACGTATTTTAAATTTAAACGATAATTAAATAACATTGATATACAATTCCACACAATAAAACTGATGAATGGATTCAAACATTTATTGCACCATACTATGCAAATTGTTACTAATTACAATATTAACTATGGAGAATTTCCAGGACGCCGTTGGCGTACTTTATTAATTTTATACTTTGAATAATTATACATATATGCTAGGAGGGTTTTATTAACATTTTGCAAATCAATAGACTTGTCAATTAACTCCAAAAATTCATTTGTGATGCTCCGTAACCCAATGGACCTAGTTGTATATAGCTAGTATATAGCATACCATTTGTAATAACTTACTCCGGTAATAACTTGCTCCGATAATAGACATCAACATAGATAATTAATCAATAATACCCATATTATTTTTAATCTCTATACTTTGTTATCGTAAGTTAAGCTCAAGGTAGTTTATAAGAAATTCTCTCAATATAGTGAAGTTTTAAAAAATTTCTATTAATAGAATGGATCACTTCACTATAATGGGAGTAAATTGTATTTTGTATGCTAACATGCTTGGATTTTTTATATTGTTTACGTTATTTCTGTATTTGATTAATCATATTAGTTTGTAAGTGTAAATGGAGATATCTTTGTTATAAGAACGATCCTAGCATGACCACCAAGATAAGTTACCTAGTCTGGTCTGTATTTAAAATTATGATTACCGAATTCTGACGATTTTAATATCGAATACATAACCAAATAAAAAATGACTCAATAAAAAAAAAGCGAAATTCCAAGTTAATAATATTCTAACCTATTAATATAAACAAAAGTGTTTATTGTTACAGAAATACTTTAAACAACTTTGATTTCCTGGTATGAAAAAAGTGTTCAATATAATTCTTTATTTAGGCAGTAAATGTACTTTATTTCTTCCATTCCATGATTTTGGAAGACTTCTATCATTTATCATTTTTTGAATCAATATTTGTTAAACAAAGTTTTTTTGTTTATTATGATCAAAAGACTTTTCAAAATTATGTGTATATTCAATAACCTCTATATGAACAAAGTGAAATTAATATACTGTATATTATACATTGTAAAGAGTCTTATTTATAATTTTCTTGTCCGCTTCAGATATATTATTATATTCATAAATAGTTGAATTCGTATTAAAATAATCAATTGGTATATAATAAGAGAATAATCGAATTCATTGAATCTAAAGAAATAAACATCCATTTTCCAAGGGATCAATAAAAAAAAAACGGCTTATTAAAAAATAAGAACAAAGAAATATGCACTGCTTATTATCTATTGACATTTTTCTGTGTTTTTGATAGTATGTGTATTAAGGTTTCCACTTTTTTAAAGAATTATCATGCCCTGCGTTCCTTGAATTATGCCTCTTTCAACCGTTTAATACAGATCTTTTTATTATTGATTTTTGATATATAGTAAAAAAAATTTCTTTGATATTTAGATATGGAAAAAAGAAATCAAAGTTCTTTTTTTCATATTATTTACGTATTAATATATAATACAGAAATCGTCATATTAATTGTTGAAGCTTCGTACGTAACTGATCTTGGTGGTCATGCTAGGTTCGTGTTTGTTATAAGTGAAGACGGAATTTAAGTAGAGTCGGAGTTTCCTGGTTAAATTAGAGTTATAGTATGGGTGTTAATATGATAAAATCAACCCCAAATCTTGGTCGTTTAAATTCCGTTTCCACTTACAACATATATATAAGATCAAATCTTTTTATGTAAATACAATCAATGTTTGAAATTTTGAACTCAAATACTGTTCTCATGAGAACAATATAATCATAATCGGTGTTCCCAAACTGTTATTTTATGTTCACAGAAAATCGATAAAAAAAAACACTGAATATAATAGGTATTACAGAAAAATGTATTATATAAACCTGTTTGTAAGTAATGCATGTTATTGTTTGTATAGACTAGGATATGGTTAGAGACACTTATAAAGTTTATCTTTTCTCTTTTTTATAGTTAGGGTGAGTGCTAATTACTCTTTTTTATAGTTAGGGTGAGTGCTAATTACTCTTTTTTCATGTTAGGGCTATAGGTAAAGTCTCTTAAAGATTTTTTTTTTTTTACGAACTATACATATTATCTTAATCTCTACTATACATACTTTATTAATTATACAGTCGGCTCCAAAAGTTTATCACGGTTACACAAAAATAATATGCAAAATATTAATAAATACAACTGACTCTTGATATGAAAAAGTCACCGAGTCCAGCTAAAATCCTACTTATATCAAACATTCTTATATTAAAACATAAATTTTTGACTGAAATTGGTAAAAACTTTCTTATGCCAAGAGCTTTTTATATCGAAGGTTTCCTATATCGAGAGTTACATTTATAGTTGTTTCTGTGTAACCGTGATAAACTTTTGGAGCCGACTGTACATACATGTTTGCTATATACTCAAATATAATAATAATCTAAGTAATTATTAATAATTATACGTATTAACAAATAAAATATTTTAAAATAATATCTAATTTAATACAGCTACTTTGCATCTGAAATATAATTATATTGCGATTAGTTATATTCATAACTTCTGGCTTATTATTTTTTTACTGTTCTTAAAAAAATTTTAATAGTGAATACTAATAAATTTATTGTTCTCATGAGAACTCTGAGAACACTAATTCAAACACTGAATAGATCAAATATTTTAAAAAAACCGCATAAAATAATTATATATACCAACTTGTTGTGTATAACTTCTAAATTTTAACATTTTCGAGTCACGAGCACTTTCACCACTTTCACTATATACACTTTTAAAATTTTTACATTTCAACTGATCGATGTGTCAAATAGTTATAATGATCCCGTTTTATATATAATATGTAAATTTAAATAAAGGATTCATTTAAGGTCTTTGGGTACTTTATACTTGGTTTCGCAAAAGTTTAGTACATGATTTATAAATGACTAATTGATGTCGGTTTGTGGTTTATTTTTCTTACTTTAGAAGTTTTTTTTTCTATATTTGATATATGAATGGACAAGCTAAGCATTTTTTGGATCAACTGCGTACTATGCAAGCTGGCCAAGGAGCCTGAATTTTAAAAATTGCCTGCGCAGGCTATACAGTATCCATTCCATAGTTTGATCTCTTTTTTATTTATACATTTCTTATATCAATATCATTCAAAATTAACTCAATTCATGTTTTATGATTCGTATAAATAATTTAAAACAATAATAATTATTTCGATAATTAAGTTGCAAAAGTTTACTGTTCATTTTGTTGGATTAAGTTGCCTTTAAAAAAAAAAATAATGATTAGAAGGTTATAGGTCGGAAATCATGGACTGCGCCCTCGATTGTTGGTTACGTTGGCGCTTTTGTAACTATGACTAATAAAGGCTATTTCAATAGGTTGTTTAATTAAACATCAACCCATTGCTAAGAAATGATTCCTTAAGAACTTAAATAATTTTCAAATAAAAGATGGATGTGCAATGTTTAGGTTAAATAATTAAATTTATAAATTCTAAACGTTAATAAAATATGTAAAAATTTTAACTCAAGTTTTCTTTTAAAAAAAAACAAAGGTTTAAAATAAATAACATTTAGGCAAAGATTGATAAATT